CGCATTAAAGTGACAATGTTTAAACCATAAGGAACACATTTATACCACACACTGATCTGTACACTTTTTAGAAATATTTTTTATTGTAATTTAAACACAGCCCTGCTCTTAACAAAAAACAAAAATGTTACCACCAAAGTAACGTGCGAACTTTTTTGTCCTATATTGGAGATAAAATAAAGTAGTTCTACGAGTATAGTATTACCGACTGAGATAGTTATACAGCTCTTGTTTTTTACAGTATTAATGTTAATTGTCCAATAACGATAAGTGTCCGATAACTGTCTATTTACCCTACATACAAAATAAAAACTACCTTGATATTAAAAATCAATCAAAACCAAATGTTAAACAGGAGAATATGGACGAAAATACATTTATTGACAAATATCGTTCAATGATTTAATGAGTAAAATCCGGTTGCACGAGCTATTGACTGAAATTAATTTCATTAACAATTCCTATATGCATTTTGGTTTAGGTTTTAATTACTAATTTGGTATTTATGATATTTACTAATTTGAACTTGTTATTATAATATTAATTTGCGCAATCCGAAATGCATTCGCTTTTAATTACATAGATTATGGCTATTGTTAATTAAAACATGACTGCAAATCTTTTATTCAAAAATGCATTATTGCCCTCTACAAATACTGTTTCCTAGTGTAATTAATTACAAGTAAAATGAGCTGGCAATAGCGCATTTATATATAATTTATGCGACATTGTTTTTTCTTTGACGAAATAGTAATCTATAGTAGTGTGATTAAAAAAATCGAATATATATTTTTTACTACTACTACTACTGAAAAATTGGGATGTAATTTACGAAAATCCTTTGGAACACTACAAAATTTAGTTATAATTAATCCCGGCGCATTCGCCATTTTTGAAAATTTTAACGCCTGAACGGATTTTGATGAAGTTTGGTAGGGTAAAGTAGACAGGTATCGGACACTTTATAGTTATTGGACAATTTTGTTTTTTTGTTAAGAGCAGGGCTGTGTTTAAATTACAATAAAAAATAGTTCTAAAGGTGTACAGATCAGTGTGTGGTATCAATGTGTTCCTCATGGTTTAAACATTGTCACTTTAATGCGTTTTAATTTTAATTTTGAAAACAAACAGTAAAATGGCCACTGTCCAATTACTGGTTGGTAAAAAATGTAAATTTCTATTATTGGACATATGTCCAATATCATACTCTATTTATAACCCGGGTATTTACCAGCCAATTCTTATGTAAAATTGTCCCATAAATCGGAAAAGACCGTCAAAAACTATAAAATTTAAGTAGTTTTTGAGATATAGTCAATTCCATATTACATGTAAAACTGTTCTACTTTTATAACTTTTGACGATATTTTCGGATTCAGCGAATAATATTTCATAGGAATTGACTGCTAAATGTCCTGGATACAAATTGCTGTTGACGAGAATTATTAGTGGCTGCTTTTTCGTCATGACATTTTTAACTAATTCATTTTTAGAGAGTAAGTATTATAGTGATTTCTTCGTCACATGACATCTTACAGAATACCAGTGATTTAAATACAGTGCATGATAGAGAACATAAAAAAGTAATGGCAACAAAATTAATAAATTCGGAAAATACTTTTAACATACCACCCGAAAAAATATTAGATATATATAAACATTATAAATGCTTCAAAAACTAGAGATACCACACTTAATGATATTTGCAACAAACTATTTCAGAAGTACGACCAAGGAATTAGTAGTTACCTTCAGAATCCAGAAAAGGGATGAGGAATCCGAGAAAGAAATATATGAATTATATGATATTTACAAAAACGAAATAAAAAAAATTACCTAAAACAGCAATTTATCTTTAAAAAATATTTAACAGTTTATGTTATTTGATTTAAAGTTGTTATGTTTATATGAAAATTGTTTGTCCAATAACTATGGGATACAATTGTTTTAAACTTTTACTATGGTATTCACACCAATAATGAAAAGTGTAAACTCACCAACTAAAAACATAACGTAACCTATTATTTTCTTTAGCAGCTAGTAAGACAATATTTAAATTTATATTTGTATTTATTTTTTTCACCAAATAGTTTGCTACATATGTATATGTTATATATGCATGAAGTAGAGTAGAGTGAAGTAGGTGAGGGAAAATCGAGGGAACAATTTGTCCGTAAAGGGATCCAACCATGAAATTGAATTATACAAGAGGCCAGATTCATTTTGAGCCCATAAACACGATGCACGACTATACAGGCAACTTTCCCTCCTGTTTTCCGATATAGCTCGCTGCCGACTCTCGTATAAACAGCCTAAATATTTAACAGCGATTCGATAAACTTATACCTACAAGCTCGGAAAATCCAAATTGGAAGATTTTTCATCTCAATGACTTCTTTATCTTAATCTGTTCTCTCTAAAAATGAATAAGTCAAAAATGACTAGTTACAACAGTTATTAGTGGCTGCTTTTTAACTATGGGATACCAGTCACATCTTATGTAAAATTGTCTCCTAAATCCGACAATACCGGCAAATTTTAAGATACAGTCAATTCCATATTTTCGACTAATTCATTTAGAGAGCAAGCCTGTTTTTTTCTTTTGCTCTATCAGAGAGATCCTCATTTTTTTCAGATGATTGCAAAACTATTGAGATGTCCCCCAAGTGAAAATGATTATTTTTAATTTTTGGTTGTTCCACTGTTAGTCTAGAACGGGGTTTTTGGGAAGCCATCAGGTCTGGTAATAACATAACATAAGTGGTTCTGCACTAATGCAAGAATTTTAAGAAATCATACATTTTGAGATATTACACTTCACGGTGGATAGGTTTTTAAATATCAAATTAATGAACTTAAACTTTTGAATTATAAAACAGCAACACTCTCATCTGCATATAAATTCTAACTGACCTTCAGGAATCACATGCATCTATAATGTCGTAACAGTGGTTTTTGCTTATTTAAAATGATTAAAGCGCTATCCGTTGCATAAAATTTAAAGCAAAAATAGATTCACGGAGGATAGAATCAATTTTTGTAACACCTACATAAATGGTTATAAAAATTATTTCTTTTAATTTTTAATAATATTTTATATTCGACTCGATTGCTATAGGATGTGTTTAATTTACTTATAAGTAAATTAAACACATCCTATAGTGAACTGATATTTTTAGTATGCTTTTACTACCTCAGATATTTGAAAACATATAGGTTAACCTAGAAAGAGTAACAGTCACGGAGGATATGTTTTAGACCCTTAAAACATTGTCATTTTAGCTTGCCTTTATTTTAGAATATCACCATTTGCTGTATTGTAGTTTTATGCATTTTGCTTGTGTTTTTTTCATTAATTGTAAACATAAACCTAAAGTAATTGTGACCACACAATGTTTCTTTTCCAATCGAGTTTCCATATTGTATTAAGTTTGTATGCCTAACCAAAACATAACAATTACATTAGATGACTCATATAATTAAAAAATTAATAACAACAACAAGAAAAGTAAAAACGTTTAAAATCGAAATTTAATCTTATTCCAGATGTCCAACAACCAAAAATACACGAACAACTCAACTCGTTAGTTATATCTTTATTGGTGGTCTCATCACTTCTGACAGACACCGTATAAAATCCTAAAATCATTAGGCAAAAATGTTCGAGACGCATTCACACTTCTTGGCATTTTGGACTTTGCCAAAGTCGGCACTTTTTATACCTATACTTCCATCAACCATTAATAGCAGATGCTATCTCTTTGAAATTTAATATGTTTTATATGAAAGCGTAACCAAAAACTATCAAAAAATTAAATACTTACATGTGTGTTATGAGATATTTTTGTCAGAATATACGAGGTGTGTTCAGAGAATAACGGGAATTGTTAAATTTCGCGGGTTCGGAGGGTCCGAAATTTTCTTTATTATGTAGGTATACATGCCCCCGAAGTATGATAAAAACTTTAGCTGTTTTCATTGTTTACTTTGTCTGTGGCAGCCGCTAAGGTTAGACGTGTTTTATGAGCTTTGCGATTTTTCGTTCGTTAAAAGAAATTGTATCCAATTTTGCTTAAAAAATTAAATAAATTCTCTGAAATGTTAACAAAGGCCTATAGTGAGTCTGCTATAAGTAAAACAAGAGTTTACAAGTGGTATAAGAGTTTCCAAGATGGCCGTGAAGACGTTGAAGATGACGAACGCCCCGAACGCAAAAGCACATTAACAATCGATAAAAACATGGAAAAAGTGGAAGAAATGGTTATAAACCATCAGAGAAGTCGCTGATGATGTTGGTATATCGATTGGCTCATCCCATGAAAGTTTTTCGAATGTTTTGGGTATGAAACGCGTGGCAGCAAAATTTGAACAAAATTTTTGGACAAAAACAATACTGTAATGATGCCCCAGCCTCCATATTCGCCAGACATGCCTCCGTCTGACTTTTTCCTATTCCCAAAAATAAAGAGAACCTTAAAGGGCCGTCGTTTTGCAAGCATAGATGACATTAAAAGCGCATCGCTGAAAGAACTAAAGGCTATCCCAAAGATCGAGTTTTAAAAGTGTTTCGAGTATTGGAAGAAGAGCTGGCACATGTGCATAATATTTTGAAGGCGACAACATTAATGTAGACGAATAAATAAATATTTTTTTCAAAAAACGGGACCAACCAAAACAATCATTTAGATTTGGAAATAAATTTGACAATTTTTTGTTATTTCAAATAACTTTATCATCAAGAACTTTATTTTGACAGCCCTTCTATGGTCTGAGAACCTTTTCATTTATAATTCACTTGTTATGGTCTTCATCCTTTCATACATTTTATATAAAGCAGCCACGTGTCAAGTCCCCTCTTTATTTTTTAGCAATTTATCGCTAGATTATTGAATATAAGCGTATTAAATTTAAATTGGGGCCCGATTAAATGCCCCGATGCTTCGCAGTTAAGGGCGTGAAATTAAAACAATCTCTTTATATACGAATTTATATTTTATATACAAGTAAATACATACATAATCATTAAATACATAGCTAGTGTTACAGGGTTATTCAAAAATACTCGTTTAGGTCAAATTTCAATCGTAATGGTGATTTGGTTTTTATCACTTTGATTTTCTTCCTTTTTTTTCTTATTTCAGTTTTCTTGTTTTTGCAAGTCGTCAATTTGTATTGTATTCATTTTAGCTTGTTATGTTTAGTTTTTGCTATTTTAGCTTGTTTTCAGTTTATTCTTTTGTCATTTTAGCTTGTTATCATTTTGGATCTTCTTCATCTAAGCTTGTTGTCATTTTAGATTCTTCTGATTTTAGTTTGTCTTTACTCCAGCTTTGTTCTCATTTTTGTATTTGGATTATCTTCATTTAAGTTTGTCGCCATTTCAGCTTCTTCCCATTTTAGAATGTTTTTATTTTAGCTTCTCTTTACTTCAGTTTTCTTATTTTTGCATGTCCTCAATTTGTATTCTATTTATTTTAGCTTGTTATGTTAAGTTTTTGCTATTTTAGCTTGTTTTCATTTTATTCTTTTGTAATTTTAGCTTGTTGTCATTTTTGATCTTCTTCATCTAAGCTTGTTGTCATTTTAGCTTCTTCTAATTTTAGTTTGTCTTTACTCCAGGTTTGTTCTCATTTTTGTATTTGGATTATCTTCATTTAAGTTTGTCGTCATTTCAGCTTCTTCCCATTTTAGAATGTTCTTATTTTAGCTTGTCTTTATTTCAGTTTTCTTATTTTTGCATGTCCTCAATTTGTATTCTATTTATTTTAGCTTGTTATGTTTAGTTTTTGCTATTTTAGTTTGTTTTCATTTTATTCTTTTGTCATTTTAGCTTGTCCTCAATTTGTATTCTATTTATTTTAGCTTGTTATGTTTAGTTTTTGCTATTTTAGTTTGTTTTCATTTTATTCTTTTGTCATTTTAGCTTGTTGTCATTTTGGATCTTCTTCATCTAAGCTTGTTGTCATTTTAGCTTCTTCTCATTTTAGTTTGTCTTTATTCATTTAAGTTTGTCGTCATTTCAGCTTCTTCCCATTTTAGAATTTTCTTATTTTGCATGTCGTCAATTTGACTAAAGAGCTCACAAATGATATGAACTTAATTTAAATAACCCTGTAAAAATATATACAGTATGGGATATTTGCACTTAACCCTTAAAAATGTTAATATATACAGTATGGCACATAATAATTGAGATCAAATATACAAATATTACACTTAGGGTAACTTTCAAGAACCTAAATTATGACCATGGTTGGCCAAATGGAAATATGGGGTGTATCCTGCCGAACTCGTGGCTTGTAAAGGGTACACGCTGCCGTATGGTACGTGGTGGGAGTATAGCAAACCCGAGTGAGTGTGGTGCCCCGGAAATCCGGGGAAACTGCCCCCGGAGCCGACGTTCGGTGGAGGAACGGTGGGAGAGTTCACGTCCATACCAGGGTTCTGCTTTTTCCACTTGGTGCGTCGATTCTGGAACCAGATTTTCACTTGCGTCTCGGTGAGGCTCAGGCTGAGCGCCAGGTTGAGCCTCTCGCAGACGCTCAGGTATCGCGTGGTCTTGAACTTGTTCTCCAAGGCGACCAGTTGCTCGTAGGTGAAGGCGGTGCGCGCTCGGCGAGGTTTCCCAGCGCTTTGGGAGGATTTCGAGTCGCTCTTTTTCTTTTTGGAGAGCGGGTCTTTCAGGTCGTCGCTGATGTCGCTCTGCAGGTCGTCGTCGTCATCCGAGTTGTGGTCTTTTCCTGCAACGGAAGAAGAAATAAGTCAAAACATTAAACTAAATATTAATCTTTCTTTAAACAAGTAGATCTTATTCTTGCCTAAATGTTAAGAAAGACTTGGCCGAATGGCATACAACATTTTATCTTTAAAGCACTTTATATAGGTCAATTTAATTCAACATCAAAGCGGCCAAACCTCACTTTTTTAGAATCTCATTTATATATTAGCTAAAGATTACATTAAATGTACAATAATTATTATTGCTTTTGGAAGCAGTAATAGTTTGACAATACCTAGCTACATGATTTAAGTAGAAATGGATTTTGCTATTACATTGAATTCAATTAATTGTTTAATAAATAGGTAGGTATCTAATTTCAATTTCTTTGGATTTTTATTTAAAAAATAGGTAGTTTGGAATGTTTAAGCTGTGTTTAACATTTAATTTCACTGAAAACTTTAAGCAAATTAAAACTAAAAAATAATTTAAATCGTAGAAAAAGAATCGTGCGTTTTCTTGGTTGCCTAACCTCACTTTTTGTTTTATTATTCATATTTAATTTTACATTAATTTAATGAAAAATATTAAACATTAACAGTAAAACAAACAAATTAGTGCTTATTATAGATTGTTTCTTGTTGTAGATAATATTTGGTTTGGAATTATAAAAGAGCTGCTAAATTAGTGAAATTTGATAGAATTAACCACCAAATTAGGTAATAATTATTACATAATTATATTTATGTGTGCACTGCACACTGTGCAGTATTATGTATTGAATTTTAGATGTTGGAGTGATATTAGGTTGGCCGAAGAATCACATAAAAAACAAATATGTATATTTTACCTCTACATTATAGGTACTAATAAAAGTTAAATAAAGAATAGACAATATATGAAACAATTACTGCTTAACTTACACAAACATACCTTATAGAAGAATTATAACATTTGTATCAACAAATAATTATTCTTAAATTAAGAATAGTGTATATTTTATTTGGGGGTGCTTGCATTTAAAATAATATGATAGTTTTTCTTGAAATATGAATATGTTTACCCTTGAACCTAACATTGAAATTATATCCAAATAATCCTTAAATAAAAATTATCTATACTTGCGGAATGGTGAGATGAACATATATATTAGACTGAGATGATGAATCTTTAATATAGAATAGCTTTTTTCCGTGTAGCTAGTATTACAGGGTTATTCAAAAATACTTGTTTAGGTCAAATTTCAATGTTGATGGTGATTTGGTTTTTATCATTTTGATTTTCTTCCTATTTTTATTTCTAAATTTTATAACAAGCAATATTTGCTAAAAACCAAATCTGTGTATTTAAGCTTGTCGTCATTTTAGCTTATATTCATTTTAGCTTGTTGTCATTTTAAATTTCCTTCATTTTAGCTTCTACACTCTTAGAAAATACCTGGTATTTGTAAGTAACTTATTATCGTTGGGGTAAAACTGTTGCAGAAAATAAAAATTTTTGTTTTTTGTAATCAGTACCTTTATATGTGTAACTGCTTGCATCATTACCTGAAAAGATTTAGTTTTGTTGTTGAGTATTATTTACTGCAAAAAGGCGATTAAGTTATTTTAACTGAAACTTTGTGTTGGCTAGAAGTATTGACAACATTATCTCAAAAAAATCATTTCGGCGGTAAAATGTTTTTGTTGGACCAAATATTTAAGTAACATTCTCAACTGACTGAAATTAGTCCGTGGAACTAACGGTTCGGTTGTATAAACTATGCGTCACTTTTCACACAGCTAAGACACCAGCGGTGTGAAACAAAGTGTCAGTTGGGGATGTTGTCTCTGTAGGTTAATGCAACTGCAAACTTTGTGCATTTCGCGCGCGATTTGTCCAGCCCGGCGCGTGCTTTACTTTTAACCTGTAAACAAACGGTGTTGCACGGCGTCCAGACTTCGGTGGTGTTTGTTCTTTTGTATTTGTGTATCAGCTCGTGTGTAGTGTATATTTTAGGTAAGGAACTAGTTTATTACAATTAGTCATTTGCCCCTGTAAATTCAGTGGCGACATACTTTTTAAGTATTCATAATATATAAGAATATATTCTGGTTACTTATAGATATCTCGAACAAATAATATGGATGAGCGGACTGAAGTAGCAGATTTATTAGGAACATGGGGTTTACCTGAATTTGTTCCAGGTTTTAAAGTTTATTATTATTATTATTGCAATCCTTTAATTACACTTTGGGGTCCGAAAAAAAATGTTATAATTTTGGACGTCCTCAATTTGTAGTCTCTTTATTTAATCTTCGTCATTTTAGCTTGTTGTCATTTTGTATCGTCTTCATCTAAGTTTGTTATCATTTCAGCTTAATATAAATAAAGATTGTTTAGATGTTTGTTGATCAATGTGGTTTTTGTGATTTTATTATTGACTTTAAGTATTTTAGGTTTTGGTAAAGTATCTAACTAAAATTAAACATTAAACTGCCGCAACAAAACAACCCCAAAAATCGCGAAGTAAAACAATCAACTCCGGCCGTATTATTCCAAGCAGCCACTTGTATTAATTCGCGGAATTATACGTAAACTTTGCTTTAAGATCGCGAATCCGGCAGCTCGCGAAAGAGCAGGAAACGGCTCCGGGAGGAAGAAAGGCACAACAAACATCCTCCAAAGTCGACCGGATGGAGAGGAGGGAGAAGCAGGACATGTAATTAACAGTCTTAGCGTAATTGCCTTCGGGCTCGTTAGCAAGCCGTGAACTTTGTAATTAATCCTTTGGTTTTGCTCCTACTGCTCTAAGCAGATGTATTAATTATGGACGGAACGCTCGCTTTGCTTCGCCATTACCTCCTTCTCCTCTCTCCATTTCGCTCCTCCTTCTCCGCAGCGCGCGTTTCTCCTCTCTCCTCCTTTATTGAATTATTTAGGCACTCAGACGGTTTTCTAATTGCGATCTATTGTTGCCACTTCTGTTTTAGCTGGGCTCTGAATGTTAATTTGCTTTGAACGAGTTCAGAATATTAACAATTTTTGTTGTTTTTCCTCATACAACTTTTTAACAATAACGAATTTTATTGGTGCCACACATTCTTTGTAGACGTTTCATGAAGATCAGATTTAAACATGTCAAGTTATTGCAGCATATTTGTTAGAGCTCGTCAAATCTTTTACCGAAATTCACCAAATGCTACAAACTGCTTATGGGGATGATTGTTTATCCAGCACACAACTTTATGGTATCATGGTACAATGACGACGATACACCAGATCCCCCCAGAACAGGATTGAGTGTCAAAAAGTTCATAATTTCCTTAAAATTAACTATAAATGTTCAGTAAAGTTTCTTGAAATATAGCTGATGATCTAAAAATAAGTATTTGATATTCCAATGACTGAAAATTTCGACGAAATAAAAACATTATGTTTCGACTCATTAAAGCTGTTCAAACCGAGGTTCCAAACTTTTCGTAAAAATAAATTAAAAAATTATTTATGACTTGAATCATCACACTGGTCCAAATCAACTCATTCTTCGGTCAAAACTCAAAAAGTGAATATAATAACGTGAAAATTGGTAAGTTAAGGTTTTTGGGGTCGCTGATTACGAATTTAATATTAAAATGATCAAATTCAAAATGGCTGACTTTTTTGAAAAATAATTAGTTTTTTGCCAGGAAAACGTTAATTTTTGGGTTTTTGAGGTCGCTGATCACGAATTTAATATCAAAATTATCAAATTTAATATGGTGGGACAAAATGGCGGACTTGTTTGGACAAAAATTAGATTATTGCCCAAAAAATGTGATGATGTTACCCCGTGATATTTAATAAAACTTAATGAGTTTGACCTACACTTTTATTGTGTTATGATCTTTCATAAGTAGTTATTACAGCTCAGGTTCCAGATTTTTAACCGCAATTGATTATTTTTTACAATGTTTTAAAAGTCTAAAACCTATCCTCCGTGAATGTTACTCTTTCTAGGTTAACCTATTATGTTTTCAAATATCTGAGGTAGTAAAAGCATACTAAAAATATCAGTTCACTAAGTAAATTAAACACATCCAAAGCAATCGAATCATATATAAAATATTATTAAAAATTAAAAAAATAATTTTTATACCCTCCGTGAATCTGTTTTTGCTTTAATTTTTACGGATGGCGCTTTAATCATTTTAAATAAGCAAAAACCTCTGTTTACGACATTATAGACGCATGTAATTCCTGAAGGTCAGTTAGAATTTATATGCAGATGAGAGTGTTGCTGTTTTTTTTAGAATCATTCAAAACGATAATAATTCAAAGGGATTCAAATATTTTTTGGCGTCATTGGTGTGTCCCATTAAATTAATAGTTGTATAATACATATCTTTTTGAAATAACGTTGAGAAAGGCAATGAAATAAATAGATTTCTTTTGATATATATATTTGGTTATGCCTTCTAAAAGTACTATTATTTCCCTTAAATTTCCTTTTAAATTTGAAAATTGATTTTAGAGCATGAAAAACCTTCTGTTTTCAACAATACAATGTTGGTTTAATAGCGTTTAAATTTGACAAAACAGTTTATGTACCAACTTAATAATACTAATTTTCCCATAATCAACAGGATCCCATCATATCAATTGCCTACCTAATCTAATAAACACGATAATCCCGGCATATCTCCGTCGGCATTTAGTTGGCTTTGGATTACCGTTGATTATAGCCGGCCCGAAAAGGGGGAGGCTGTGTGTGCGTGTTTGTGACAGTTGACAGGAGCGCAACCGCATTGCATTGTTTTAGCGGCGAGCTGGCAAATGAATGCGGTTAACACGTTTCTCTCGGGTGGCGGCGGTATTGATTTCATGGCCCGCTTTGCATTTGATCGTGTTCTCGAATTAGCGATCGAATTAGCGATCGGCCGGCTGGATTTCGGTAGATTAAACGCGACATGCGACCCCGCATGGTGTACAGTCGCAAGAATATGTTGTTATGTTTTGGAATTTAAAATTTTGTTTAATTCTTCAAATTGTTATTTCAATAGATAGAGAGTGAATTTTACATGCATCATACAATAGGGAAGATGCAAAACATATTTATTGGACTGTACACATTTTTAAATTCACATTTATACGTTTGTACACGTTGGTAATTTTGATTGAAGTAACAATTGTTTTTTTCAAGACAATGAGATTTGTTAGGTTTAACTAGATTTTGATTAATTTTATGTAATTTTATAAGAAAGTGTTCCAAATTAGTCAAAATTATAAATTAAAATGTATCACAAGGTTTTAAAAAATGTATTTAATTTTAATTATTAATTTATTTTTATTTATTTTAATCTTTGAAAATATGTTAATAATATAAATGTTTTGATGATTTAAAGTACCTACTAAAAACGAAGATAAATTTTCGAAGGTTTTTGAATCGGACCTCTGACAATTTTTTTAGAAATTATAACCAAAAAGTACATTACGTAAACCCTGCGTTTTTACACTTTTGGGTCAGAATTTTTTTTCGAAAACCATGTGTTTGAATTCGAATTTAGCATATTATAATAAAATCAAAAACCTCAGGAAAAATATAGTCTGATTTTTGTGATTAACATTGGGATTAAAATAGTATATTATGTATCAAGTTTGATAAACGCCATTTTATACACGAATTTAATTTAAGTTAATGAGTGTATAGAAAAGTTTATAAACGAGGTGCATACTATACTTTTTCTACGACAAATACTTTTTATTATCTTAAAATGATTTAAATAAAAAAATTGTATAGAGCGCCATCTATGAAACAACAGGGGAAACTGTCAAATGTCACATTTTTACATTTTATAAACACAATTATAAAGGTTATAAATCAAAATGTATCTTGAAAATTGACAGTTTTTCACAGTGAATGAGGACTTTACAGTAGAGTCCGTGCCCGAATTTAAGTTCATATAAACTTTTCAAATATAGGCGTTAAGAAACTATTTCATATTTTTGTATTTTTGTATTGAGATAACAAAATAATTTTTACATTTAGTATTATTTTACAAGAAAGCCACTTTATTTTAACGATTGTATGACATTTGAGAACCGACAGTTCTGAACTGTCAACTAACTTAAAACTAACTTCAGCCCGTGACTAAAAACCTGTCGCTAATTTCAGCCCGTGACTAAAGCGCCGTAAAGCCACAACTTGTCCATGTGTATTTAAAAGGTCACTTAGTGTCATGGAAACATGTACGATAAAGGGCGTTTTAAAGGTGGGAGTAGAAAATCATATTTTTTATACAGTTTGCTCATTTTCATTAACTTTATGCAACCAGGCAATAATTATGAACAATTATTATCAGTTACTTTAGTAGTGATTGTTGATAATAATGAAGTTAAAATTATAGAAAATATGAAAATATAAACTAAACACAATTAAAAGTCTCTTTAGTACCTTAATTAAGTATTAGTATTTGTTATCTATGATTTATAGCTATAAAGCCATTTTTAAATTTCTATTCTATGAATGCAATTTTAGTTACGAGTTTTATTAGGCGAAGCTTGCAAGTGAGTGTTTAATAAAAACAAGTGTCTAGAGAAGTTTATAAAACAAGTTGCACAAAGAAGAATTTAAAGCCAACTTTATTTGTTAAACATTTAACATCTGTCAAATTTTAACGGATTTAAAAAAGTTTTTAAACGAATTGCATACTATACTTTTTCTACGACAAATATTTAATATTATTTAAAAAATGATTTTAATTCAATATTTGTATAAAGCGACATCTATACGAAAATAAGGTAATCATCCCAATAAAAATTTTTGACATAATTTTCACCATTAACATTGCCCGTTATTGTTTTAATTAAACAATTATTGATACTTAAATTATTATTATTAATATTATTATTTAATTATTATTATTAAAATAACTTTTATTATTACTGTAGCTGCAAAATACTATCACAAAGTATTAAAAATTCTTATACGGGAAATGTTAAAGGTACAAAAAGTGACAGTTGTTTTTATTGGAATTCCCGTTAGAATTTCTAACTTAGCAATCTACCGGCGTTAAACTGTCAAATTTGTCTGTATAAATCAAAATTTATTCTTTGAAAGTAGACTAACAATCGATATAGAAGCAGTTTTTTACAGTAAAAGAGAAGAGAATGTTTTATGGGCACTGTAAGCAAAATTTTTAACGCTTTATCAGTTAAATCAAAAGGTCAAAAAAACCTATTTAATACACAAGAGGGGCAATTTATTTTACTAATAACATATGCCTGTGACTAAAAAGCCCGAAATCCACTGCTGATAACTTCAGCCCATGACTAAAACGCCATAAAGTCAGTGTCATAAAAACATGCCCGTTCTATATTATATTATAATAAGGGCAATTAAGAATGGTCGAGAGATAAAAATACAAAAAATACATTTTACCATTAATTGACAAAGATTTCGACTGATTTTTATCAACAACAAATTGTTAAAATTACAAAATTTACGATTTTAAGATCATCCAAGAAAATGAATAAGTCAAAAATGACTAGCCAAACAGAAGTAAAATTGATCTGAAAATATTGTCAAAAATTATGAAAGTAGAGCAGTTTTTGAGATATAGTCAATTCCATATTAAATGAAAAATTTACTATATCTCAAAAACTGTTCTACTTTTAACGACATTTTCGGTTTATGCGGACAATTTTACATAGCAATTGACTGAATTAAACTGTCTTGGACTATCATCATCTTTGATTCTTTTATAACACAACGTTTCAATCAACTATCTGTGTTATAAAAGAATCAAAGATGAAGATAGTCCAGGACAATTTAATTCAAAATCATACTTCATCTACCAACCTCAAATCTAAAATAGCAATTGACTGCTATATGTCCGGGATACAAATTGCTGTTTCGCTCTGACATTTTTGACCAATTCATTTTTAGAGAGCTTGTGGTCATCAAGTTTGACTTATCGACTCAAACAAAAAAGTCTTACCTTCACTTTCCTCGTACTCCGGGGATCCTCTGGACCCATCCAGAGGCCTCCAGCACATGCCGTCACTAAAAACCGCCTGCCGTCCGGTGAACTTGTTCGGGTCCAGGATGTTCTCGACGGAAAAGGCCAGCCTTCGGTTCTGGTGCGGCACCACCGACGGACTTTGGTCCCTGGGGCTCTGAGACCGGCTTACATTGTCACTGCAAACACTCTCCGAACGCTTAAAGTCACTGTTAGAGTCGAACGCGGTGAACTTCCCGTCCTGCCGACGGGTCAAATCCACCGGACACGTGTCGTCGCTTTCAACGTCCACATTGAGATCCTCCTCTTCGTCGGTCTTTTCGCACATGTCCGCGTCTCTCGAGTCGTCGCATATTCTCTTCGGTTGGAGGAATATCGTTGGTGATGATCCTAGGGAGTTCTCTTTTTCCGGTAGCACTATCTCCTGGGCTTTGTGCGTCTGCGATATAATCCGTTCCATCATCAACATTGTCATTTTCGTTCCGACCCACTACAACATCCTGAACTGATCTTCGCCTGATGAAGTTTTGATGATAACTGAACCACCACACTGTGCTGGGAATGGCGAGCCAAAATCGCAGCATCATAGGAGGAGATCCGCTCGTCTCATTGGCCGGACGAGATCTCCGCGCGCCGCGCCATTGGCCGGGGGCGCGGCCTGTTTAAATGGTGAGCACCGGCTCTGTTTGCTTTGCAATTATGAATATGATTTGTAATAACAAAAGAACGCGAGAGGAAATTATCAAGGCATATTTCCGGACAAAGGCAACGCTGATGAAACAATTTAAATTTAGTAGTTATGGCCGGCGGTTTAATTAGCTCCGAATCGCTCCGTGTTATTTGTTTTTATCTCGGGGGATTTGCCGTATGAAGCTGCTTATCGTTCCGCGTTTAGCGCTTGCCTTATTTAATGCAATTAAATATGGACGAGATTAAGGCACAACTTTTAACCGCTAATTAACTTCCAGTTTAATTACCTTTTGAATGAAGAAATGAAACGGAAAAATGACCCTATTTAACAGATATATATATGGGTCCCCCAAGTGAAAATGATTATTTTTTATTTTTGGTTGTTTCACTGTTTGTCTGGAATGGGGTTTTTGGGAAGCCACCAGGTCTAGTAATAACATAAAATAAGTGGTTCTGCACTAATGCAAGAATTTTAAGAAATCATACATTTTGAATATTAGAGCTTCACGGAAGATAGCTTCACGAAGGTTAGGATTTAGTATGTTTTAAACTTTTGAATTATAAAACAGCAACACTCTCATCTGCATATAAATTCTAACTGACCTTCAGGAATCACATGCATCTATAATGTCGTAAACAGAGGTTTTTGCTTATTTAAAATGATTAAAGCGCCATCCTTTGTATAAAATTTAAAGCAAAAACAGATTCACGGAGGATAGAATCAATTTTTGTAACACCTACATAAATGGTTATAAAAATTTCTTTTAATTTTTAATAATATTTTATATTTAATTCGATTGCTTTGGATGTGTTTAATTTACTTAGTGAACTGATATTTTTAGCATGCTTTTACTACCTCAGATATTTGAAAACATATAGGTTAACCTAGAAAGAGTAACAGTCACGGAGAATAGGTTTTAGACCTTTAAAACATTGTAAAAAATAATTAATTGCGGTTAAAAATCTGGAACCTGAGCTGTAATATCTACTTAATTATGAAAGGTTTTATTAGTAAACAATTTAAATAATAGAATTTAAGAGATTGTAGTTTATAAAACATATATATTTTTGTTCATAAAAATTGCGAATAATATTTATAAAAATAATTATACCAACAAAACAATCATTTTTATTGTTTATTATTATCTATAGATATTTTTACTATAGTAAAAATGTTTGATAACCAAAAATCACATGCAACAATGCAACAAAACTTGTTCTACTATAAAATTGAATGAATGCTGCCTCTGGGAAGCCTTTCATAATTTTTAATTAATTTTTGTCATATATGACAAAAATTAATACGTGCAAGCACACAAAATAAAAAAATCGAAATGAATTAATTGTAAACATGAATAATATTCGTACAGCTCATTATAAGTTTTCCAAAACGCATTTCCATTTCCCCCTATTGTTTATTAATTTTTTATTTTTTTCAGTGCCAATTAAAAATTCCAATTTGGATAAATGCTAATGAAGTGTTTTTATCTTTGTTTCCAGTTACTAATTATTTTTCGTAACAGATCGCGAAAAAATGTTCAATCAGAAACTGCCCATTAATTGGGCATTATTTTTAACGATGTGCGATAATTTGTTTTTTTTGGTCCCTTATATATATCGTTAATTTTAATTACGTTTAAAAAAACAAAAAATAATAAAATGTAAAAAACATTGCAAAGTTATGTGTAATATAGAGGGTGTCACCTAATAAATTTGTATCCTTTGGGGGAATAATAGTACACGCCAAAACAAGAAATTTTTTTATATTATGCATACTTGTATACTCTACGGTAAGTCGTGTACTATGCTCCACACCTCAAAGTCCCACCACGTGACCACGTACGGAACGCAGTCTTTTGAAAATTTGGCATTTAAATCTTTTCAGGTAATGTATCTGTCAAAGTATAGTCAACGAAAATAATATTATGTTTAGGCGTCTATAACATTACAATAAATGGATGGTTTAAGAATATAAATACTGCATTTAATGAAATTCTAAAGTGTATGGTGCGAAATAAGTAATATTTTTGTGCATTTGGTTTTCTCTATAAAATTATGGAATAAGAATATCTGTTTTAAAGGTAGGTTAATATATTATAACAAAAATATCATCTAATTTTGAAATTTTAAGGTTAGAAAAATTTATTTTGACCAAAATAAATAAGTATTTAAAAATGTGGTAGTTTTTCTTATCCAGCTTAAAGTGTACCTACATAAAGTTTTGTCAATACAAATAGTTAAAAAGCTTCGACTGAATTTGATCTACATTGAAAAATCATTATAACTTTAAAAATTTGAATAAATCATTAAATATTTTCAAATTGCAAGTTTCTCTAAAAATTGTTTGTTTTCTTATAATCTAACTTAAAGTAGGTATGCCGAGAGGTATGCACAAGTTTTGTCATTAGAAGTATAAAAGCTTCCATTTAATTTGAACCATATTCAACAATTATTTAGTTTCTATACCTATATTTATTTATGACCATATTAACACACTCTTCCAAATTTAACTTATTTATTTTGGTCAAAATAGATTTTTATAACCTTAAAATTCAAAGTTAGATGATATTTTTGGTTCTAATACATTAACCTTTGATACAGATATACTTATTTCATAATAGAGAAGTTAGATTTTTTTTTAATAAATGCTGTTTAGTTAAAACTATTTTATGGAGAAATGTAGACCCAATGCACAAAAATATCACTTATATTGCACCTTACACTTTGGAATTTCATTAAATGCAGTATTTATATTCCTAAATTCTTAAACCAACCATTGTTATTGTGATACTATAAAGATTTATTAACTTTTAACGCTTAAACATACACTGAAAAAAAACAATGGTTATCTTAATCAAATATATAGTAACTTTTACTAAATATTCTGATTAGTATAGGCACAGCCATATTTACTGTTATGTTAACCTTGTTTATATTGTAACAGTTTTATTGTCACTTTAACTATATTTTTGTTGTTGCACAAAACAATAATTTATTTAGTTATAATAATCATATGCAAATACCTTTTAACCCTCTATATGGTTAAATATACTATACGTATGATATGTATAAACTTTCTGTATAGTAAAAACTACAACGACATATTGTTAATAATGTGTGACAACATTATATTGTTATTGTAACCAGATAATCTTATAATTTTAACCATCTAGTGTAGTACTAACAGTTTAGCCGTACATGATGGTTGTAATAGCCTAATCAAATATCTAACTTTACTAAATTTTTATAACAAAATGATTAGAGTACATATGTATAACAAAACTAATTTTACGTATATTGTTATTACAACCATAAGTAATAATTAAATGAACCATATTTTGCATAACAAATCTATATTGTTAGGGATTACAATATATTTTCTTAGAGTGTAAGTTGTAACACTTTCATTGACTAAACTTTGACAGATACATAACCTAAAAAGCCTTAAATGCCAAATTTTCAAAAGACTGCGTTCCGTACGTGGTCACGTGGTGGGACTTTGAGGTGTGGAGCATAGTACATAGAAATACAAATAATTTCATAAAATTGACAATATTCCATATCTTTAACAATGAAGCCATTATTTAGCTTTAAAGTGCACATAATTTTATTATCTTGAACATCCCACTCGAACCCCTTTTTTAATAGTTCTTTACATTTGTTATGTTGGCATTATACCCAGACCCCAAACACGCAATTTCCTAATTCGGAGTTCGAGTGGGGCCCTCACCGCTTTTCCCGGCGTTCAAGTGTGCGCAAATAGAGCGAGATCCGATTCCATTACCGATTCTATTATCCCTTGATTGAAATGAAATTGACACATCTGCTACTTAGGCGGCGCATCGTCTCTTCTGGGGTCCGTCGCGACGCTGCGGCGTCCTTGGCGTCGGTCACTCCGTCGGGACGCCGCTGCGGTGGTTAAGTTGCAGCTCAGTACACATGGGCGTAGATTTAAGTTATAACATAGTATAATCAGCTGTCAAACGCGTATGTCACAAACGAGAGTTTTTGAGAATAAACAGTGGAAATCCGAATGAATAAATAAATTGCATAGTCCCTGTATATGGGGCATTCCACGCCAAATCGGATGGTTTCAAAAATTTTTTTTTGATTCCTCCAATTTTTTTATATTTTTTACTACTCCTTGAAAGAGTAAATTTTGAGATTTTTTTGATCACGGGTTCAAAAGATATCAAATTTTTAAAAAAACTGCTTTTTTTGTTTTTTTGCTCATAACTTCTTAAAAATGGTCCAAATCAAAATGTTCATTCCATATAAAATTTTTGTTTTTAAATGTACTTTTCGAAAAAAAATATATTGAAAATATTTAAAGCGTTTTAAGTCAAGATTTTTGATTTTTAAAGTTTAAATCTTGTTTTTAAAAAAGTGTCTTCTTCGATTTTTGCGAAATTTTTTTATTTTCAACTTCTATCTATTCAACAACTATTCAGCCTTGTCCGATAGTGGGCCTTCCATAATTACTATTTTTTTTTCGATTTTTCAAAATTTAAAAAAAAAATATTCCATACTTCAATATTTCTTATTAAGTTCAAAATAGAAACACAAGAAACCAACTGAATCGAGCTTCCAATAGTGAATAATATAACGGAGGTTATGATACGAATAAACAAACTACGTAACTGTCAGTATAAAGGAACCGTTATTAACATAGGCAAGTCTTTTCAAATTTAAATAAAAAAATTCATGAAGATACTAATAATTAATAAAAAAAAATACATTGCTACAGAAAAAACATTATAAAAATAAAAATTGACATAAATTTTTAAAAGAACACGAAAATAAATAAAAAAGTTTGTTATAATTGCTCATAAATAGAATTAACTTAAACTAATTAA